TGACAGATCCGGAAAAATATTTCAACTACCTCAGAATGTTATCAACAACATTTAACGAGTTACTCAATATTGTTGGTCCACTGATTGAAAAACAACATGTAGTTCGAGAACCAATACCACCCAGAACAAGATTAGAAGTGACTCTACGATGGTTGGCATCTGGCGACAGCATGACATCGCTATCATATGCTTTCCGCATTGCCCAATGTACGCTATCATGAATTATCCCGGAAACATGTCAAGCAATTTGGCTCTCTTTAAAGGATAAAGTTATAATTGATCCAACTGAAGAAAATTGGAATACAATTGCAAGAGACTTTGAGGAAACGTGCGAATTTCCAAACTGTATAGGCGCTATCGATGGAAAGCATGTCGTAATTCAGGTATATTACAAATTTAATAATATTAATTTAGATTTAATATATTATATTGATAATGTAATTATGTATGCTTTGGAATGAGTAATGTGTTCATCACAATGGTTTCCAATTGCAGGCACCGCCTCGTAGTGGTTCGTGCTACTATAACTATAAAGGAAATCACAGCATAAACCTGCTCGCAGTAAGTGATGCCAAGAATCGCTTCACCATTGTTGATATTGGAGCTGAAGGAAGGCAAAGCGACGGAGGTGTTTTTGAAAACAGTGGATTACCACATCTACTTGAGACGAATGCTCTTCATATCCCTCTACCAACACGTTTGAATAATACAGATTTGGAATTTCCGTACGTTTTGCTGGGAGATGAGGCCTTTTCTTTGAGCACATATATGATGCGACCATATCCTCGTAGTGCACAATTGAATATTAGTAGAAAAATTTTCAATTATCGCCTGAGTCGAGCAAGGAGAACAGTTGAATGTGCTTTCGGGATTTTGGTTGCAAGATGGAGACTATATCGTCAATTTGCAAGCAGATCTAACAGAATGATGTTGTAATTGGCGATCCGCTAATCCGCTTACGCACGAACCGCTCCATGGGACATTAAGGGCAAAATTATGGCGTACGTAAAACGGCGGATCTTCAGTGATTGGTCGTATCTATCGATACGCGCATACAGCGATACGCGTCATGGGACGGCACCCTAAGTAGGTACTATCTGGACACGCTTAACTGGACAGGCCCTATATTGGCTAAAGTAGGCCCTATATTCTCTAAAGTAGGCCCTATCCTGGCAAGCTTAATTACGTCCTATTTTGGCATGTGTCAACAATTGACAACAACAGAGAAAAATATCAGGGCGCTCCACGTCTCGATCCCAGGCCTGGTCTCTGCTCCGAGTTGGTAGACTTTGACGTTGCCACTGAGCCACACAGCCTTTAACGCTGGTGGTCTCTCTGTTGTATCTATATCTAGTAAATATCTAGGCCCTTTCATGGAACACCTCCTTAGACCCTATTTTGGAATATCTATATATCGCCCTTTCTAGGCCCAACAGTGGCAGGCCTTGTTAAAGGCACTCACGTCAGTGCTCATTCAAGGCCTGTTTAGGAAATTCCATCTAGAAATTTCCTTCCTAGGCTCTTTCTAGGCCCAACGATGGCAGGCCTTGTTAAAGGTACTCACGTCAGTGCCCATTCAAAACCTGTTTAGGAAATTCTATCTAGAAATTTCCTTTCTAGGCCCTTTCTAAGCCCAACGATGGCAGGCCCTGTTAGGGGCACTCACG